ACAGGAAGACTTGGCCCGATAGCAGTTCCTGTGGGGGGAAGTGTTGCCAGCTATAAGCCCATGCACGAGTCTTGGCTGTGTAAATAGAAGTCGAGGGTGAGGGGCACACGGTGTCACGGGGAAGATCTGCACTTTGGAGCGGGCTCAAAAGTCAGCTTTGATACTTTCCAGCCATGTGGCTTTGGGCCAGTTACTCTGCCTTCTTGAGCCTCAGTTTCCTTATCCATAAAGTGGGGAACATCATGCCTACCGCGTGGGATCATTGTGAAGATTAAAGATAATGTAGGCACAGACAAGAAGACATTTATAGTACATGTAACTGAGAAAGGACTCATATCCAGAATTTAACAAAAACTCCTAAGTAATTCTTCTAAGAACAGACAACTCAATGTGGGTTTTTTTTAATGCTTTTAATTTATTTTTGAGACAGAGAGAAAGTATGAGTTAGGGAGAGGCAGAGAGAAAGGGAGACAGGAACTGAAAGGGGCTCTGTGCTGACAGCAAAGAGCCCAATGGTGGGGCTTGAAATTATGAGCGGAGCCGTAAGATCATGACCTGAGGCAAAAACCATCGCTTAGCTGACTGAGCCACCCAGGCTCCCCAGAACAAACAGCCCAATGTAGGCGAAGACTTGAAAGGGGATTTCACAAAAGAAGATATGCACATGGCCATTGAGGACATGATAAGATACTGAACAATATTTGTTACGAGAGAGAAGCCGACGAAAAGCACTATGACACTAGTGTACCCTCCAAATGAGCATTAGAATAAATATGACTGTGACAAGGATGTGGAGCACAGAACTCTAGCAGGAGTACTTGCTGGTACAGTCACTGGATAACTGCTTGACAGTGTCTCTCAAGGCTAAACCAATCAATGACCTTGCAAGTTCGCTTTGGGGCATCTACTCAGTGGAATGAGTGCTTATGTCCACCAAGAGTATCTGAATGTTCACAGCAGCCTTATTAATAATAGCTTCCAACTTGGGGCGCCTGGGTGGCTTAGTCGGTTAAGCGTCCGACTTTCGCTTAGGTCATGATCTCGCGGTTCGTGGGTTCGTGCCCCGCGTCGGGCTCTGTGCTGACTGCCAGCTCGGAGCCTGGAGCCTGTTTCAGAGTCTGTGTCTCCCTCTCTCTCTGACCCTCCCCTGCTCACGCTGTATCTCTCTCCTAGAAATAAACAAAAATATATATATATATATATATATAAAAAAAATAATAGCTCCCAACTGGAAACAACCTGAATGTCCATCAATAGCAGATGGGATAAATAAATTGGTCTGAATGCGTCCGGTGAAATACTGCCTAGTTATGAAGAATACTGAACTTGGGGCGCCCGGGGGGCTCAGTCAGTTAAGCATCTGCTCAGGTCATGATCTCACAGCCTGTCGGTTCGAGCCCTGCGTTGGGCTCTGTACTGACAGCTCAGAACCTGGAGCCTACTTCAGATTCTGTGTCTTCCTCTCTCTTGTCTGCCCCTCCCCTGCTCACACTCTGTCTCTTTCTCAAAAATAAATAAACATTTTAAAAAACTTTCTAAAGAAAGAAAAATAATGCTCTCACAGATATAATATTGAGCAAGCATGTGACTGTTTCTAGGGTGAGTGCTGGAAATAGCCTATATCTTGATCTGGGTGGTAGCCACTTAGGTATGTACACATATAAAAAGTCACTGTGTTCACTTAACACCTGTGCATTTTAGGGGTGCCTGGGTGGCGCAGTCAGTTAACCCTCTGACTCTTGATTTTGGCTCTGGTCATTATCTCACAGTTGATCTCATATCTGAGCTGACAGCACAGATCCTGCTTGGGATTCTCTCTCTCTCCCTCTGCCCCTCCCCCCACCTCAAAATAAATAAACTTGAAAAAAAAAAAAAGACTTGTGCATTTTAATGTATGTAAGTTTAACCTCAGTAAAAAAAAAATAAAAAGTAAACAAGGGGTGCCTGGCTGGCTCAGTGGGTAGAGCACGGGACTCTTTGATCTCAGGGTCGTGAGTTTGAGCCCCACTTTGGGCTGAGAGCCTACTTTAAAACGAGGAAACAAGTTATTATGTGTCATGTGCTTGGCACAGAGCAGGCACTCAATAAATTGCTGTCAAGTTTTCTAGAGAAGAGGAGGCAGCAAACCCATTGTACGGTGTGCTGCTTAGACCACTCAGGAGCCCCAAGTATAGTGCAGGGAGCCCCCATTTTTATGAGGTCACTAACAATCAGAGCATGACATGGTGAGAGATAAGCCTCGAGGGGAGTCCGGTATACCTGGCCAATGACGGACGGCTGAAGAAGTGGAGAGGATGTTGCTGGGGACAATGAAACTTAGGAATAACATGAAGATGTCTTCAAATAATGAATGGCTCTCTGTAGAATGGGAATTGGACTCTTCCTCTGTGACTCTAGAGCACTGATTCTCAGCCTGTAGCTGCATCTGAATGCCCTGGAGGGTTTCTTAAAACAGATGACTGAGCCGCACCCCCAGACTTTCTGATCCAGTCTGGAGCAGGAGTGAGAATCTGCATGTGTTTTTCTTTAAGATTTTAGTTTTAAGTAATCTTGCACCCAACGGGGAGGCTCAGACTTACAACCCCAAGATCCAGAGTCACATGCTCTACCGACTGAGCCATCCAGGCGCCCCTAGAGAATCTTCATATCCAGCAGGTTCCCAGGATATGCTGCTGCTGCTGGTCCAGGGACATACTTTGCTAGCTGCTGTATTGGCGTCAAAAACCATAGAGCAATTGGTGCTGTGTGAAGGTGGAGGAGGAGGAGGAGGAGGAGGAGGAGGAGGAGGAGGAGGGGGAGAGTTTATTGAGAATCTGGTGTCTACACCTCCTGTATTGCACTCTGTCTGTCTACATTTTCTCACAGTCAGGAAGACATTATTCTCCCCGTTTAATATTTTTTTAAAAGTAATCTCTGCACCCAATATGGGGCTTGAACACACAGCTCTGAGATCAAGAGTCACGGGCTCTACCAAATGAGCCAGCCAGGTGCCCCTATTCTCCCCATTTCAGAGAGGAGAAAAACAAGGCTCAGGTTTCACTCGCATCTCATACTTGACTCCAAGCCCGGACATGCTAACGCTGAAGCCGAGTACCTACCTGCTGCAGTGCTGTAACTGGAATTCCATTTCTGAGTGGAGGGATAATTTCAGAGGGTCCTTCCAACCCTCAATGTTAGACTAGCTTTAACTGGCACTTTGGAGCACTAACACATACTTAGCACCAGCTAAATGCCAGGTGCTATGCTATGTTCTCTCCAGGATGCATGCGGCCACCGGTCTAACTCTTAAGATGCAGATTCTGGGCCATCTTGCCGGCTCCCGTCTTCTCTGTCCCTCTTGGAACCTACAGTCACCACCGCCCACTCCTATATGCAGGCTGATAACTCGCTTCATCCAGGTACTTGGGGAAGGAGGCTTTTTGTGTACAAACCCCCCATCTCTGCTGTCTGCATTCATGTGGGGTAGGGTGGCTGGGTCATCTGGGTACAGTCCTTGGCACCGAGTTGTCTGCCACCCACCCCATGCCAACCCCAGACGGAGCCTGCCAATTCACTCTCCACACTCTGGCCAGCCAGGCAATGATGTGAGGGCTGTGAAGATAAAAGCCGGAGGTGGGGGAGGGGTGGCCTCATTCCCTAGAACGGCCAAAGGAACTGCAGATGTGCTTTATGACCTTGAACCAGAGATTTCGCTCTACTGCACCCGCCTTCCTCAGAGTCTGGGAAGCTGAGACCAGAGGGTCCAGGAGACAGAGAGCAGGCCCACGGTCACTTAGGGGATTCTGCCACATATGAAATCAGGTCCAAGTCCAAGTGACCTCCTCTGGGCTGTGATAATCAAAACTTTTCTCTTTGTACATTTTTTAATATTGAAGGTTTTCAGTTCTTTTTTTTAAAAAATGTTTATTTATTTTGAGAGAGAGAGAGAGCATGTAAGTGGAGCAGAGAGAGGAAGAGAGTCCCAAGCAGGCCGCACACTCCCAGTGCTGAGTCCAATGCAGGGCTTGATCCCACAAACCGTGAGATCACAAGCTGAGCCAAAATCAGGAGTCACACCCTTAACCAACCAAGCCACCCAGGTGCCCCGAAGGTTTTCAGTTCTAACAGAAACAGTAACAAAGACAAAATATAACCGCAATTCTATGCACTAAGGAATTTGGGCAGCTCTGACGTATGTAAAAAGCTGGTGGTGAGAGTACTTGGCTCTTATTTCACGCTCTGTTATATCATCTTGTTTGCTTTCTCCTTGAATGTTTCCCGGACGTAGATCACTGCCACTGGTCCAAGATGTACGATTGATTGATTGCTTATCAACTTCAAGGTCTAAGTGGGAGTCACTGTAGTGCAAGCATCTGTCACCACAGAACCAATCCTAGCCCTCAGTGGGGAACAAACCCCATGGCCCTTGCCTTGGAGGAGAGGCAGTAGACAGATGATGAGCAATGATGTAGGATGGGGCCCCAAGGAGGGGCCCCAGGAAGGTCAGGGAAAGCTTTCCAGAGGAGGCAACCCTTGAGGCCAAGAAATAGATTTCAGTCATCAAGAGCCCGAGGACCCTTCACTCCTAGATCTCTTATGCCAATGTAGTCAGTCTTTCCATGTTTTAGGGTCTTGAACTGCTTTCCAGAGCTAGTGAAGGACAGGGATAACTCCCTTCCAATTTACAAGGAGGGAAATCAGACAGGGGCTGAGGGAGCATCCAAGGTTTTGTTGGTAAAATTTAAGAGTAGCCACAGGGTGCCCCACTAGGGCTAGATATTTGAATACTCGACACAGAAAATATAGGACAGCCTCTGCCCTTGGGGAACTTGTTATCGCTGGGAGATAAGATATGTAAATGAAAAGCCAAAAATAATTGTAAAGGTGATGTGCAAATAATTCGGTTCCCCAGCTATTTATCCAAGACTTGCTATCTTAAAAGGCACTCTTTGAGGCACCTGAGTGAGGGTGGGGAGAATTAAAAACATAGGTAAATATAGTCCCAGCCCTTCAGAACTCACCGTTTCACTGGCTGCAGTGGAAGCAGGGTGGCAGGAAGAGGAAGTTAGCAGTCCATGGATACAACTGTGAAGACCGTAGGGGGCAAGGAATGGATCCAGGGCTTGCTAGAATTTGGGGGTTGGATAGAATTTGTCCAGAAAAGGTTCCTGAAGGAGGTAGACAATGTGATGATACTGGAAAACAGAGGAGGCAGAGAAGAAAAAGAAGAGAGAATAAGCAAAATCTTTTCACACACTCATCCTTCCATATCCAGTTTGGCAATGAAGTGTCCCCCCCCCCCCTCCCGGCCGGCAAAACAGGATACTTCCCCGTCCAGGCTCTCAAAGCATCCGCATCACAGAACCCCACTGCCTCACCTGCTAATCCCAGCTTCAGGGCCCCGCCCGCACGAAAGAAAGAGAGGGGTGCCTGGGTGGCTCAGTCGGTTAAGCATCAGATTCTTGGTTTTGGTTCATGATGTGATCTCACAGTTCGGTTTGTGTATGGTGCTGATCCCCGAGTTGGCATACAGCTTATTTGGGATTCCCTCTCTCCCTCTCTGTCCGCCCCTGTGTGTGCTCTCTCTCTCTTTCTCTCTCTCTCTCTCCATCTCAAAGTAAACAATAAACTTAAAAATTTTTTAAAAAGGAAGGGAGAAATAAAGGAAGGAAGGAAGGCTTGACTATAAGGGGGTTGGGTATTCACAGTAAAGTGCCTCACTTTGTTTTTGTTTACTTATTTTTACTTTTCACTATTTGGTCAAAGTGTAACTTACATACATGCTTAAGACACAGATCTTAAGCATGCATATGTTTGTACATGAATAAATATTTACATATGTTTATATCTGTGTAACCACCACCCAGATCAAGCTATAGAACGCCTCTAGCACCCCAGACTAGACTAGACTATGGGCTGCCTCACTGTACACTGTGCCAAAGTCCCTGATACTGTGGCTAAAGGAGCTGCCCCCATAGGGTGATCTCTCTGGGGGGTACCATCTAAGGAAATTATAAAAGAATTTTAGGTGTTTGGGCTGGAGAAACCAAGTGCTGGGATGAGGTCACGTGTGTGAAAGACTAACATGCACGGAGCCATTAGCCTTGTCCTGTGGGTGGCAGTGGGGACCCACAGGGAGGGCCATTTCAGTTCAGCATGAAACGCTTCCTAACAACCCGAGCTGACCCACATTGGAAGCGGACCCACAGGAGATGATAGGTAAGGTCCTCAACAGTAAGAGGTATCAGTCACAAACAGGACTGACAAGCATTTATCCGCAACGATGGGGAAGGAATAGGGGGCTCAAGTTGGAGATTGTTCTTACAACTTTGAGCTTCTGTGGTTCTGGAATTCTGTGAGAATGGCGAAGAGGACCCAACCAAACACTTGTGGTTATGATTCGCTTTGTTTTCGTTTTCTAGAGGATAACTTTTTACTGAATCACAAATACTGTGTAGACCCACCATTATCACCATTGAATAAATAACTGCTACTACCTACCAACCCACTGAGCCAGAGAGACCCTGGGGCTCTGCTCCCGTGTGCGCAGAGGCCCGGAGGGACGGAGGAGATGCCGGGGTGCCACTGTGAGACGAAACCAGCCCTGCCAGAAAAGTCGATTGCCCCCTCCTCATGCCAGGTTGTCACCAGAGCACCCACCCCCACCTCCTCAGCCCTTTTAACTCTTGTCCCTCTGGAGGCCAAGTGGGCACGATGCCATGGTTCCTGCCACTACTGGCAGAGGTGACACTCTGGACCTTACTGCCCCGCCTCTAGGTGCCAACTGCAGGAACCCTAGCTCCCTCAGAAGCAGGACCACACAGGACTCCAGTTCTATAGCCACCTGGGGGAAGGGACAGCCTGTGTCAGCCCAGCCGCAGGCTCCTCCGAGGACTACCAGTCTGGGACTAACTCCTCTCTCCCCACTCCCCCATCCATTTTTGCCCAGCAAAAAAGGAATTCTCCCCAGAACTCTTTTTCCCCCTGGATGATTACTTCCCAACTCCTCTTGGGATTCCTCCAGATCGCTGCCCACCCCCGCCCCCCACTAGGAAGAAGGAGAGAGATGGAGTCTGGAGAGAACACCTGTATCTTCCCCCTCCCTGCACCTGTCCCGCGCACACCCTCCTCCCGGCACCTGTCCAGTGCGCAGAGGAGATGCGATGGGTGAAGACCAGCTCGCAGGCGGAGCTTAGGGTGCAGATCAGGTGTTCTATCTAAACTGCTTATCCTCTCCAGATTCTAATGAAAGCCATGAATACTCTCCCAAGGGGGGGGGGGGTGATGTATGTAGATTTTATCTTCTATTCTGGGGGCAGATGGGGGCGCTGTCAGACCCTCGAAGTGCATCTGTGAAGCACCTAGGTATTGGGCTGGGGTGGGGGGGAGGAGGTTGTGCTCCGGGGTTTCTCCACCGCAAAGCCCAGGCCAGGTTGGAACCTGGGGGGCAGGGGGAAATTGCAGCTCCCCAAGCCTAGGCAAAGCGCTGGAAGGTCCCGCTCTCCAGCCTCTCCGAGCATCCAGGACGTCTCTCAGGCTCAGTTTGCCCAGCTCGGCAATGGGCGCTCGGGCCCCGCCGCCCCCGCGGGGCTGTGCGCGGACGCGGGTGGGACGGACAGCTGGAGAGGGGGTGGCGGCGAAGCGCTGCCGGCGGTCGGTCTCCCGCTGCCGAGGAGGGTGAGCGCGCGTTCGGGAAGCAGGGGGAGGCAGGCGCCCAGCCCAGCAGGAGGAAGGCGCGGGCCCCGACGCGGTGCCAGCCGGACGCAGAGCGCCCCCCGCCTCTCCCCCGGCCCGAGGGCGGGGCTCCTCGCCGGGCCGCCCCTCCCCGCCACTCCCTCCCGGCCGCCGGCCTCCCCTGCCCGGCGGGCCCTCCCGCGGGCGACGCGGCACTCCGGCACCGGCGCGCAGAGCCAGCAGCCGCCTGCCCGCCAGCCGGGGCCATGGGCTGCGACGGCCGCGTGTCGGGGCTGCTCCGCCGCAACCTGCAGCCCACGCTCACCTACTGGAGCGTCTTCTTCAGCTTCGGCCTGTGCATCGCCTTCCTGGGGCCCACGCTGCTGGACCTGCGCTGCCAGACGCACAGCTCGCTGCCCCAGATCTCCTGGGTCTTCTTCTCGCAGCAGCTCTGCCTCCTGCTGGGCAGCGCCCTCGGGGGCGTCTTCAAGAGGACGTAAGTGCCCGGCCCGCGCGGGAGCCCCCAGCCCCCACCCGCGCCGCTCCTCCGCACGGCCGCGCGGACCCTTCCCTTCCCTTCCTTTCCCTTCCTTCCTCTCCTTCCCTTCCCTTCCCGCCGCTCGCGTCCCTGCCCCCTCCCCCCCTCCCCCCCCCACCCCGCGGGGCTGGGGCTGCGGGGCACCCTCGCCTTCTGGTGGGCCACGACCACCCCTCCCCACGCCGACGGCGGCGCCCCGCCTTAGCAGGACTGCCTCCCTCCCCCACCCCAGCTCTCCCTGGAAAAGTCTCTCGAGAGACTGAAGGTGACTTGTGGATTATTTATTTGCCTTTGCTCACCCCCCGCGAGGGAGTGAACCAGGCCCTCACCCGCGCCCCCACCCACGCGCCACGGTCCCAGGGGTGATGGAGTCGGCAGGGGTGGGAGAGTCTCCCTCTCGCGCCACGGATCTCAGGTCTGTCAGTAGCCCCTGCTGCTGGGGGAGGAATTGGAAGTGAGGTGGAAGGAGAGTGGGAGTGTCACTTCAGGGGCCGTGCCAGGTGCCAGAGCGCTCTGGAACGGGGTCCACTCAGATCGTCAGCTCCGGTCCAGCTGACACACTCTATCCCTTACCCCCCCTCCCCGTCCCACTCCGCAGTGGCCACGCGGCTGCTGGATCCCGTGTGGTCTTGCTTCAGAGGGAGTCAGGAGTCCCGCGTCGGCCCCTGGAGCCCAAGCCCTTCTGCCTCCAAGACACTCAGGACCAAATTATTAGGGCCACGCAGGGGAGGTGCAGGGTGTCTCACGCATAGGGTGGTTAAGTTGACCCTCCGACTCTGGTGCCACTTCCCCCTCCACTTTTCCCACGCCATGTTACTTTTCCCTGGCCTCTGCCCCAGGACAGGGCTCTGGACTCTGCCTGCCTTGGCTGGAAAGATGCCCCTTCAGATACCATTGCAAGGCCTCCCTCTCCCCCGGCTTAAATTGGATAAATTGGACAGGCCGCCCCCACCAAGTCCTCTGAGAGGCAGCAGGGTTGCTCTCCTAGTGCAGCTGGGAACACAGACCCAAAGCAGAGGAGAGATGACTTGCAAACTGGAGGCTGCTGAAGATTTCCCTAGTTCTCGATCCTGGCTGGGTGGTTTTCTGGGCTGCATGGACTCAAGCAAGCGGAAGGCCCAGGAACAGAAACCACAGTTGGGCTAGCCTGGAGAAACCAGGGTGGGAGGGCCCTCCCCCCCTGCCCCCCCCCCCCCCCCCCCCCCCCCCCCCCCCCCGCATCCTCAGCCAGGTGCTCTCATCCTTGGGCTCACTCCTAGAGGGACGCATGCGGGTGGGCTTTCCTATCCACCCTTCCGGAGCTGATGGAGAGAACACAAGTGTCATATAGACCCACTTTAGGACGCCCCAACTAACAAAACAGGACCAATTCGGGACTGATTATCCCCATTACCAAATTCTTTTGTAAACGGAAGAATTCTCCTTTTAAGAGGCAAGTCTTGTGGACATTGGATTTTCTCTGGGTTTTGTACAAGATTGGATGCACGGGTGGTTCCGAAAATCCTAAGAAACAGCTCAGGATGCTTCCTGATTCTGCCTGGAGGTTTAATTAGAAATCTATCAGGGTGTTTTTCTGTTTTCTCTCTATCCTTTGAAAACATATTTTGACTTACAAAACCTCCCTTACCTGGTTCCTTTTTAGGAACATGTGTAGTGCAAAGAACAGGAAGGGGAATGGGAATAATTCTAAAGGGCAGGTTGGCGTGCCAGGTTTGTGAAAACAACAGAGATACACACCCCACACCCACCTGGCCTGTCTCTTCCTCACTTGCTCTGCACCGCCCTCAGGGCTCCTTACTCAACCAGGAGCTCTGAGCAGGCAGTGGAAAGGGTCATGGGGCAGGAAACCGGCTCACAGAGAAGGAAAATAATGGTAAGAACACAACGAGCTTCACCGAGCTCTTACTCAATGGCAGGCAGCTTCTTAGGACCTCACTTGTAGCAACTCACTTAAACTTCACAACAATCCTACAGAGTAGTACTATTATCCCTATTTTGTGCATAAGGAAGCTGAGGCACAGAGAGGTTAAGAAAGTTGCCCCAAGTGGGGCGCCTGGGTGGCTTAGTCGGTTAAGCGTCCGACTTTCGCTTAGGTCATGATCTCGCGGTTCGTGAGTTCGAGCCCCACGTCGGGCTCTGTGCTGACTGCCAGCTCAGAGCCTGGAGCCTGTTTCAGTCTGTGACTCCCTCTCTGTCTGACCCTCCCCTGCTCACGTTCTCTCTCTCTCTCTCTCTCTCTCTCCTAGAAATAAACAAACATAAAAAAAAAAAAATTTAAAAAAAAAAAAAAAGAAAGTTGCCCCAAGTGTGCCTGGGTGACTCTGTCAGTTGAGCATCCAACTCTTGATTTCGGCTCAGGTCATGATCTCTCGGGTTCGTGAATTTGAGCCCCACGTTGGTCTCTGCGTGGACAGTGTGGAGCCTGCTTGGGATCCTGTCTTTCTCTCTCTCAAAATAAAGAAATAAACATTAAAACAAGAAAGAAATTTGCCCCAGGTCACATCATACAGCTATCGAGTTAGGTTTTGAACCCAGGCATTTGTCTCTGGAACCAGGTACTTGGAAACGGTCTTGCTTTATGAGTATTTTCACTATAAATGTGTAGGGTTCAAGTTATACCCTGTCCTCCCCAGGCACAGGCATAGGGCTGAGTATCCCTGAGCTGACACTCCTGGGAAGGAAAGTGGGGGGCTCTGGGGCTTCCTGCTGGGATCTTAGGGGTGGGGGGCCTAAGTCCTATCTGTTCAGGCTCACGTTTAAATCCTGAACCTCAGTCCTCCCCACCCCCAACACAGAATGTCATAAAGAACCCTTTCCTTTGGCGAGGAGCAAAGTGGACTTTGGGAGGAATGGAGGATTTGTCACAGGGTGGCCTGTGTGTAAAGGAAAGGGATAATCCCCCACTTCTCAAAACAGACAGAACCCCCAGTAGCCCTAAAAGCAGCCACTAAAGCTTGATTCCTTGGGGCCTCACCACAAATTCAAATACCAATACCCCCCCTTCACACACACCAAGTGCTTTTCAGCTTAAGTGATTACCCGCTAGTGCCGTGCATCAGGCTGATACTTGTGGGGGAGGGGGGTTGGTTTAACAAATGGCAAGAGCCAGCTGTTGCCGACAGACCCACGGGAGGGGCGAGAGGCTGGGGATAGCCCGAGTCCTGCCTGCTGCTGGGCCCAGACTGAGGGCTTCTGCATGCCTCCATGCTTTGGAGGATCTGCTTGTGGATGGCCTTGGACATTAGAGCTGGACAGGACAGAACAGGCACTCTCCGCTCAGGATCAGTCACTCCCTGCCTGCCTGCACCCCTGCCCCCAGCTTCTAGCACAGACAGATCTTGAGGGAAGCCACCATGTGCAGGCCAAGAGGAAAATGGGTACAATTAGAGTCAGAAGAATCTGGACTAGACCTTCCTTAGAGATAGCTTGCTTATTGAGAACAGGAAACCATTCAGAGAAAAGAAAAATGCAAAGCCACCTGGTTGGCAGGGTGTACAGGTATGTGTTTTGTCCAACAGGAAAGAGAAAGGGGTATTTAGATAAAAGGTTTCGGTTTGTTTTTTCGTGGTTACTTGGGGACCTGTCTAACCACCCCGGGTGGTGTGGGAGACCCCTTTATCTCAAAGGCATCAGGGTAGATAAATGGCTTTCAGACCTTCCCCAGCCTTCTCCCAGCCTCACCTTGGCCTCTCGCCTGCATGCACCCTCTTAATTGAAGGCTTGGGCTCTTCCCCTCTACCCTATTCACTGTCTCCTTCTCTACCTCTCATTTTCCCCAAATTGCTGCAAGTCCTGCCCTGCCCAAGACCCACCTCTGACCCCCTCCTGCCCATTGCACGAAACTTCGTCTTTCCTGCAAGGTTTCCCAGGCCACCATCAGACTGCTTCCCCAAGAGGCTGGCCCCCTGAAGTATCTGGAACACAGCACAAAAGGCAGTTTCTTCCCCTGAGCTGGGTCCTGGTCGGTCTCCCATCTAAAAAGCGTCTGCCTCTCCCTCTGGCAGTTGGGAGGCAGGCAGCAAACCTGGCCTGAAAGCTTACTTGGGGTCCGGCCGCAGACATGGTTCTTGCTTTAAAAACTCGTCTCAACATGGGAATTACCATATGACCCAGCAATGCCACTCTTAGGTATATACCTCAAAGCCCCAAAGACATGTCAACAGAAAACCTTGTACAGGAATGTTTATAGCAGCATTATCTACTTTTAAAAATGTTTTATTTATTTTTGAGAGAGATAGACAGAGTGCAGTCAGGGGAGGGGCAGAGAGAGAAGGAGACGCAGGCTCCAGGCTCTGAGCTATCAGCACAGAGCCCGACACGGAGCTTGCACCCATGAACCATGAGCTTGTGACCTGAGCTGAAGATGGAGGCTTAACTGACTGAGCCACCCAGGAGCCCCAAGCAGCATTATTCATAATAGCCAACAAGTGGAAGCAAACCAAATGTTCATCAGTGGATGGATGGACAAAGGAAATGTGGTACACCTATACCATGGAATAGTATGCAGCCAGGAAAAGGAATAGGTTCTGATGCATGCTAGAGCATGGAGGAACTCTGGAAACATCATGCTAAGTGGAAGGAGCCAGACACAAAAGACCACATGCTATATGGTTCCATTTGTATAAAGTCCAGGAGGGAAAACCTGTAGATACAGAAAGTAGAGTAGTGGGTTCCTAGGATGTGGAGAGGAATGGGGAGCGACTGCTGCTGGGGACAGGGTTTCTCTCTGGGGAGAGGGGAAATGCTCTAAATTTAGATTCTGGTGATGGGTTCACAGCTCTGAAGATACTAAAAACCATTGAGTTATACACTTTGAATAGATGAATTTTATGGTATATAAATTATATCTCAATTTTTTAATGTTTTATTT